GACTGAGGACTGATTTTGGCATATGTATCCAATCCCCTTCATCCCTAGAAATGTTCCGTACTGGTGGCAGGGGAGCACTATGAAACTTGTACTACCACTGTCTCTTATTGAATCTGTTCTGTGTATAAACCAGGGCTACTCAACTTTGGAAGCCCCAGGGCCATAATGCACATGCTGAGGGCCACAACTTAAGTGGGGTTGCATATTCATGCAAATATATATGCAAATAGCTTCTTTCTCACGGATGGGCATGAATACAAAGATTAAGGCAAGACTACACAGCATGCAGGTCCCATTTAACTCAGTTCTGCTGACATTAATAAAATGCAGTATTTACCCAATTTCACCCATGTGACAGCACTTTTAATGAGCAATGACAGTCCAGGAATTAAACTACAAAAACGCATATCAACGGAAGATCATTATATTGACTCACCTTTGTGGAGCGTGTTTCCAGTGGAGGATCCCACTCACAGGCCATGTGTTCAGCTCTGTGTAAACCCAAACTGAGTAGCCCTGGTATAAACAGAACTTTAGGCCTTATCTACATAACAAAGTTGCATTGTCATGGTGCAAATTAAAATGGCACAAATATTTGTTTCAGAATGACTGGCCTACTGCATTGTAGTTCTGCGTAAGTCTTCCGAATACAAGTTCAAAGCCATCCAAATTAAAAGTGTAAACGAACTAGTTTGTACACATTTAAATATTAGCATACAAACCCATTTCAGTTAAACCTGTGTAACTTTCCCATGTAGACAAGATCTTAGCATGAAAAATGCCCAATTTTCAGCCTTGGAGACTATATTCATTAATATGTCATTCATTTCCTTCTGTCCTCACCTGCATTTATTATTAAATTATTTCAATCTCTTAACCCAGGAAACAGATTTAGAGACTAGACAGATTAGTCATAGCACTCTGTGACCCTTTCAACATGAAATTCCTATACATATGAAACTCACCTCTGTTTTTACAAACTGAGGACCCAGCCCAAATTCACCAGTGTTCACTAAACTTTAGGCAAATCTTCAATGATTTATGGTTTCATGTAAAAAAATTACATGCACTATTGTATAATATGAAGCCCCATGATGCTCAGCTGCTTCAGCTGAATTTCATTAGGTATTGGAGTTTGAACTTGAAACTCAGAAGTTGCAAAAAAACACACACTAATCACTGGTGCAATACAGATCTTTTCAGATAACTTTAAGAACCCTATTAACTTGCTTTATCAAATGATAAAAACCAAATGTTCCCATTAATAAATTCTTAAAATAATGTTTCTAATTTTCTTCCTCTCCTCCTTCTCACTGTCCTTCCCTTCTCCCCACTTGCTTGTGGTGACATCAGAGCTTTAATATATGGGTCAGGTTGGTTCTCCTGCAACTATAAAATCCATGGATGTGAAATCTCTGCTTTTTACAAGGAACAAGAGTGGCACCCAGTGGTCAAGTGAGTGTTTTAATGAACTCCTTGAAATAGCACTCCTCAGGATCAACACTGTAGCGATCAATCCATTGGCGTAAACAGGAACACAGCCCCCACCAACCCTACCTTGCACAAGATGCTTCTGTAAGTACATTGACTTCAGCTACAAGGCCTTAAATATAGCATGACTGTGTAACAATTGTGGAGGGGTGACTAGCCCAAATTTGTGACTGGGTGTAGGCTGGTAATGGAAATGGATGAAACGAGTTACAATGAACAGAGGAGTAACATATCAAGAGCAGGCAATCTGGGAGAACCAAGGTGTATTTCTCTGTAGCATAGAGATGAGCTGGTGACTGTGTTGATAAAGAGTGTATGGATTGTGAAAGCATCCAAGAACAGCCAGGGAGCACTAGAGGCTATATTTTGCCATTGCATATGCAACTTTCCACTGGAGGACATAAGATTGGACTGCTCAGTCTTCAAACCAAATTATACAATTCCAGCTAAGGCTTTTGTTCCAACAGCCATTTCCAGTGGCTTCCACTTTGCTTGAAAGTATTAGTGAGACCACATCTGTGCCTTGCGCTACTGATTCATAGGAGTAAAACAATCCTTCCTTAGCCTGCATCCAGACTTGGACCTAATAGTGTGATTTCCAGGTCATTAAGTAATAAGCTAGCTCAATGAGAGTTAAAATGGTAGCATAGCCACAGCAGCAGGTAGCACAGGTCCTTCTGTGTAATAGTTTGGACTGAAACATTTCATTTCAATCATCAATGTATTTCTTCATTTACCTGCTGCTAGGTTTTATGTTAACCAACAGCAGACTAGAATTGTATGCATCAGCAAAGCAGTAATTTCAGACTATCTTAAAACTTGTCTTTGCAAGTAGCTCTTCCAGGCCATAGCCTGTGCTTTGTAAAAAATATGCTGAAAACAGTCTGATTTTATTTGCATATGTCCTGCCTCTAAAATGAAAATGGAGGTGTCTTGCCAACTGTAGCAAGTCTGAGTGTTGGCTGGACTCTATCTCACAAGCAAGACTAGCATTACTGCATTAAGATAGAATTGTCACAACACTAGTAAGGAGCAATTCCTCACTTGTGTGTAGTACTAACTAGACAGTCAAATAGAGGTGACAAATGACTATGTAAAAAAGAATGCGCAGATAGGACAGCATACTAACAGAAAGCTACATCCCGTTAAGCTAGAGTGTGACTTTCTAACATTTTAATGATTTTGAAGTGAGTGCCCTGAGATTTAAGTTTTAATTAGTTTGTATCTGGTGACTTTCACATAGCCTGCAAATCACTGATATGATTATTCCATGAAGAGTAGACAAACTCCCAAACAGATAACGCTAAAGCAAAGACATCTCTGCTTTCTGCCTTATCACTTCATAGTGTCATTGTCTCCCACTGCTTTGCCCAATAACTATGCTGAGTGTCTCCCCACAGGTCCAGGCACATTTGTATTCAGGGTAGCTAGACTGGGTCACTGTTCCCCATGCTTATTGAGCTAGTGAATGGATATACTAGCTGGGAATCACATCCTTTGCTCTAAGTGCAGACACAGTCTTTAGTTTCATTGTATGCCACATTGGATAGAAAAGAAGTTACAATGTGAGACTGCTGTAAACAAAATTATTGCAGTCTTAAATACTTTCCACTCAACCTTTTCAAAAAAGCAAGCTAATTAGTAAAATGTGTACAACTTTTTTTACATTACACTAGCTTTCACAATACTACTGCTATACTCTGTAATTAGTAAACTTAATAGTTAGCCCATAGCATCAACCCTCACACCTCCCTCACTCCAGTTAAGTTTCCAGAAGGTGGAACTTAATTTATATGCTCGAATTTACTGAAAACAAGAATAGTGACCAGAAACACCGATTCCTACATACTGATGTATTTATCTAGCGCAGAGGCTCTCAACCTTTCCAGAATACTGTATCCCATTTAAGAGGAATTTATCTTGCATACCCCCAAGTTTAATCTTTTAAAAACTGCTTGCTTACAAAAAAATCAGACAAAAATACATGTGTCACGCAGCATGTTGTTACTGGAAAAGTGCGTACTGTATGAAATTGTAGTGATTTTGCTTGTTTTTAAATGTAGCCTGTTATAAAACTAGGCAAATCTAGAAGAGTTGATGTATACCCCTGGAATACCTGTGCCTACTCCTATCACTCAGCCATTTGATTGGAAAGACTCATGCTGATCAACCCTGTATTTCACGTGTATTCTTTGAAAATACATTTGGGAACCAAAGTTGCAGCTCATGTTTAATTATAGCATGCAATATCTATTATTAACACATCAACATCTACAGAAGTCAATTGACAAATTCCTGTTAACTAGGCTTTGGACTGGGTTGGGTTACCATAGGTGAATTTAGAAATGTATAATTTTAAACTTGAATCAGCATTCATACAACTATAAAATTTTATGAACCCTAAAAAGTGTGAAGATGGTAATTTATTTGCTTTCTAGTTTATATAGAAATATTCTAGATTAGACCTATCACTTTTTAAATTAATATTTTAAGGCACTAAAATGTCTGATTTTTGCAACATCAGTGTGCCAAATCTTAAACTCCACTCCTTTTGCAGACTAGGGAAAGGCAACATCTTTAAAATCTAGTTTTTGTTTTAAATTTCTAGGCCTTCCTAGATGTGAAGAAAACCTTCCAAATAGACCGATTTTAAAACAAGTGCCATCTTCCAAATTCTGCAGACAGTTGAAGTGCCTCTGCTGATGCTCAGAGCTTCCTAAGCCGCTGCTGTGAGAGAATATTAACCAGTCCTCCACTGGTGCTATTTAGCTGGTAAGTCAGTTACTCCGTGGGAAAACGGAGCAGCAGCAGGTGGCAAATGCAGCTACCTAGGGGATAGGAGAATCCAAAAGTGAAGAGTTTGCATCATAAGTTTGGTTGCGGAAACGTTCCCAGCACATCAACTACATGATGCTGTGGTCATCGGTGGGCTTTAGACATTGAATACTAGCTAGCTGGAAGCAGATGTGAAAGATGAGCCTCTCAGTAAGGTCCAAGGAAAACACTGTTAGAAATGCCTGCACCCTTCCTAGTATATATTTATAGCTTTTCACCTTAATATTTGTTTTTGGGTAACAGGTTTACTTGTCTCATATCAAATAAGATTTCTAAGTCCTGAATGGATGAGGATGGACTAGTATACTAGTATAAATTAGGAAAAGCAAGTTGTGAGCTAGAGAGAAAAGGGAACACAAACCAATGAAGTCTGTCATGATACAGAGGAGGAAGAAAGTGGATTGAAAAGATATTTTTCCATCCTTTATAGGCTTACTCCTTGTACAGTAGCTGAAAAGTTAGCTCAGACTAAAATTGGCATCTAAACTAAAAGGCTATTCAGTCCCATGTGCTGACAGTCAAACATTGACCATACTGTGGCATTCTTTGTTTTTCCATTTATCAAAACAAACCCATAATCCAACCAATGGATTTGCTCCAGTTTCATCAAGGAACATTATCACTTTTCAAATCCCATCCCTAATGTAAGAAAACAACAAACATTCAACATTTCCACTGTTAACTTGTTAAATTCTTTTAATAAGACAAATGTCACCACAATACAAGTAAATCAGACCAGTTAAAAATTAGATTACATAATGCAGATTTAATTGACAAGTATTCTGAATTAGTCTTTCCGTAATTGAATAGTTTCCTCCTTAATACCATCTTTTGTGACAATGCAGATCTTAAGTGAATCTCCAGTGTATACATCTCTCTCAGCTGCAGAAATAAAGACATCTTTAACTAGCTGCATAGCCTTTTCCAGGGACAACGGCACGTGCTCCACATTTTGCATGTTCTTGAAGCCAACCTATGGAAAAAAGTGATGCTGGATTATTCTGTTTCATGGGTTTTGAAAAATTCAAGTAAAGAGAAATTGTAAAATTAGTTTAGTCAGATACAGGAACTGCCAGGCTTAAGTCTGAACAGAAATGTGGAACACCCAAACACTTGAAGGAATTTGCTTCAATGATTTATATTTTGATGCAAGGCTGCTCAAAAGCTGGTGCACCAATTAAGATATGCTAGTAATTCTATGCTAGTAATTCTATTGTATTTGAGTAGAGGAAAGTAGGAAACTGGGTTCAGAATAAGACAAGCATAGTTTCTCTCCTACTAATACAGAGTAGACTTATAAAAACCACCATGAACATTCAAATTGAACCAATCTGTACAGAAGCTTCCCATTCTAGCATAGCTCAAAAGAAAGGGCAGAGTATTTTATGTCAAATCATCCAACATAGCACAGTCTTTATACATTGCTTTGCAGTATTCTAAGAATATTAAGAATTTGCACAAGTGTGAATATTCACGTTTCTAAAGGTTGTCCAAATTTTTCACTTTTAGTTATATGTTTGCCCCTAACAGAACAGGGCGTGGAAAGAACCACCATTTCACAGCCTAAATATGTTGTAGCCATTGTAAAATTGTTTGGAAGGAATGACAAGATACTAAGCACCCCCCCACCACTCAAAAATAAAGTTTAAGACTACTTCAAGACTACCTGGTTGTCAAGCAGGGGCTGTAACATGGCACTTGCTGAACCACCAGCTTTGAAGGCATCTCTCTGATATGAACCAACTGGGTCAAAGCTATACACTGCTCCCTTCCCTTGAAGAGAAAAAAGTGTTAATTAAATCTACACACCAGAAAGCCATTTTCTTAATGATATACAAGTGGTACTTCAAAAATATTACATAGTAGTTTCCCAGCCATCCTGAGACAAGATTAATAACTTGATCTCTGAAGAAAAGGTGAATCAGAGGACCTGAGGATAAAGACCAGCTCTGATTCTTGGTCAAAGCCACAGAACAGAGAATCCTAATGGTATTCTGGCTGGTGCTCAACCAAATCATTAGAAAAGCTTAAAAGCCAGATAAGAACTTACTTCTGAGGTCTAAGGTAACTACAATCTTACATGTTTTATTAAACTACTCCTACTGTATATCCATATCTACAAAGGTTTTGATTTGAAACAGCATATTTATTAATTTCAGACCATTCAGAAAAGGAATATGCTGCAGGAACAGCTGTCTACCAATAATACAAAAAAGATCTGAAAGTAAAATTAGCATTAAGATGTTGAGTTGGTAAAACATTTAATCTTTAAACTAGATGTATCTGCTTGGCTCAATACAGGTAAAATCCTGTGAATGGAACACTATCAATCCATGCCTTTGACATTCCAGTGTTCTGTACTGTTGCTTTTAAGAACAGCCTGAGAGACTAGCAGTATACTCCATTCCACCTTAAAGTACTAAATGTGAAAAAGATAGAAAGGTAAAAGCGTTTTTAGCAAAGACATTATTTCAGCTCTGAATAAGTCATTTGAAAAAGTAGGATTTAGCCATCTTTAGATCTTGGAGTTTATACACAGACTCTTCAGAGACTGAAGGCAGTAATATATTAAAATGTTGGTGAAAACTATAAGATCTGATCATACAAACTATACATTAGTTTACCTACCTAAAGGAACTATAATACTTACCAAAACTATTTTTAAAGTGCCTTGATATCCTCAAAAATATTGTTAACAGCAACATTATTTCACATAAGAGAAGCAAGGATAAAGCTTCCTCAAACTGCACACCAGTCTGCTTCTGTAGAAATGATTGCCCTTTCCCAGCAGAAATCAGTCTTTTCTCCCTTTCCTTTCTACAAGAAAGCCTAAAGCTTTACCTTCTTCATCAAGCCCGCCAATGATGTTGTAAACGTAATAAGGAAAGAAGCGCCGAGAATACAGGATTGTAGACAGCATTGCTGCAATTGCACCAGTAGTCATGGTCTTGTTATTGGAATGCTTGTACATCTGTAATAAGCAAGTGGAGCAGCACAAAAAATGCGTTAAACAGTAATATTAGAACAGTAAGCAGACACGCACAGCAGAAGTATAACTGGAATACAAAATTATGAAAATTCTGTTTTTAGATTACTACCAAGATTAAATGGTGGTGTATTTATGGGGTTTCTTGAAGTTTAGGCACAAAATTTAAGTTTCACAGAAGTTTTTATAAAAAAAGATGTTACATGGTCACTAAATACTAAAATATTAACAAAGGTGGTTTTTAAAATTTGTCTTTACTTTTCACAGTTTTTGTATTCTAATTGCCTTTGCATTTTACTGAGTTTAGACGGTACATTTTCTCTTCTTAGGTTCTTTCACTAGCAATGACACAATGTTTGGGGTATAAACACTTCAGGGGAATATTTGAAACTCAACTATCTTTACTTTGTTACATTTTTATTTCAGTTTCTTTACTTGCTCCAATTATTGCTCTTCTCTAGTATTTTGATAAGGCAGAATTACATTCATTTATCTATCTATATATTTTAGAGCTGTCTGAGTCTGTCTGCAAGTCTGTTAGTTCAAGAATGCCTCCTAAATGGCAACAGCTAGGACCACCTCCTTCTCCTCCACTGCACCTGGAGAGCACCTCTTCTCACCCCTGGCCTAGGCCTGGAGAGCACCAGCAGAAAGCCTCCTCCCAACCCCAGGTAAGTCTTCTCATAGATAAAAATATCAAACATTTAGCTACCTTTAGTCTTGCTTCAATAATTTTAGTAAGCGTGAGGCAATCTCCATGAAAACCACTGCATCCAATGACTGTTTGATCTGTTCTGTAAAACGCAAAATTGGATACTTCGGTAAGCATTAAAAAAGAACTATCAACTATGCCATTTCTTTTATTGACAAGCAACACCAGGAATACTGAATACATTGCATTAAAAATGCTAAGAATTTATCAGCTGGTAACAATAATTAACTAACTCTATAGACTATTATCAAGAGATACGTATATCAATATGGATAGACCAGTTTGAGAACTACTCATCTAGTTAAGTGCAAGGCTGTGTGAAAGAAGAACCAGATTCTATTCCCAGTCCTGTCAGATAATTTTTGTAATTTTACAGGTATGTGATTTAACCTCTGTGCCTCAAATTGCCAATCTAAAAATTGGAACAGGATTTACATAATTCACATGGCTATTGAGAGGATTAATTAATATTTTGTAAAGTACTTTGACATCATTGAATGAAAGGAGCTACAGAATTGCAAGTGACCAAAATGTTACTTATTTAAAACTGAGCACTGATTGTACACAAGCTTAAAATGACTAAATATGCCATCTAAAAATTGACAAAACATTTTACTCATTGTTAAGCATTATTAACTTTAACAACCTAAAGTGAAAATTTTTTCTCTTAACACAAGACTACATCAATGATGGGCAGCCATCATATTTCAGCAGACAGATGGTACCAAGATAACACCTCTGGACATTACCAAGAATTTACTGATATGCTAAGGAGTTAGCCAGGAGAAACATGAACTCTCATGAACTGTCAGACAAGAGAGGATTTGCATCTGGAGTGTGACAGAGGCACGTGCCTCCTTTAAAAGCATGTAATGATAAAGTTTAAGGGGAAAAATTATCCAGGTGGACTGAAGGAAGTACAGGAATAATATGGAAGAAGATTGATAGAGGAACTGCTGACAAGTTTACTGCTGATCTCTGAGAGGAAGCTCTGAAGTGCCACACGGTCTATTGAAATAATAGACCATTAATGTATTTGCTATACAGTCAAAGGAATCACAGTGGCTCCAACTACTCAGTACCAGGAATAGACAAAGCTAGTCATGACAACTCATGAGTGCTGCTACAATTAGGAAACCAAAAACATCAGGTGTCAGTGAAATTCAAGCAACAAAACACAAACTAAGAAACTTGATCTCATTAACAGCATCACAACAGAAGCCAAAACAAACCCTTACAAATGCACTTCCTATCTTACTGGAATGTTTTTCTAGGGCAACAAATGAAAATGCTAGTCATTCAGTCTTCCAAGGATGCCATACAATAAGATTAAAACTTACAGTTTATAGCATTTTGGACTGTCCCTGCTGTGAATTGCGTAACCTTCACTCAGTCGTGTGTCTGAGGCAACAATAGAAAAATCTTCTCCAGCAATCGCCAGCACAGTGCTTAAAGAAAATGAGGACTAATTTATAATCATTATATAATCAAGATTTCTAGACCTAAAAAACACCTCTTCTTCACCCTAGCAGCTTCATGTCTATATATTAGGGATGTAAAGGCATAATCATGTAAACGGTTAACAGTTAACCAGTGACTCTGGGCTAATCTGTTACTGTTCCGTTACACACAGGTTTCTGCCCACTCTTTGGGAGGCAGCTGCCACTCTCCATCAGAGGCAGAAGCACAGGGGTGGCAGCCAGCTCACCAAAAGCTGGGCTGCAGGTGGGAACTGGCACATGCTGGGAACCGTCTTAGAAAGCCAGCTTTTGGCTGTTGTATCATACTGTAGTTGCATGTAACTGCTGAGATTTTCAGTGGTTACACTGTTACCCAATTACCCTCATTTTAACATCCCTAGTCTGTGGTGGTGGACAAGCTTTGAATATTCTGAGGCAGCAGGAGTGGGGGGGGAAGCACTAGCTGGGACAGGAGGGCCACAGGAGGGGACCTGATTTGAAGGTAGGCCCCCTTAGCACTGGCTCTGCAGTGCCACCTTCCTCTTACCGTGTTGTCTCAGCTGCCAAGGACAGAGGCTGCTTCATAGCAGCTCTCCCCACCCCCACAACAGCCTGTTTGCAGGGAACTTGGACCCCAGCAGACAGGGGCTGCTTCTACCCCACACTGCTGCCTCTGTCGATCAGTCACAGTGGCAGGCAGCTCCCGGAGCTGTTTTTTTAACTGGCTCCCACCTGCCACCCAGCACTGCTGCCTCTGAGACAGAGGCAGCAGCATCATGAGGTGGCAGGGGGCTTCCTGGGGAGCGGGGCTGCAGCACTCTGGCGGTCACCCCCATCGATTATCGACTTTGTCGTGTAACGGCAAAGATTTCATGTGGTTACACAACTGCTCCCCCACGTCTAACATCCCTTTGCTCCGAACGTCCCTTTGCTCTGCAGGGCGCCGTTAGAAAAGCGGTTTCCAAAGCTGCTTTTCTTAACAGCAGCCTTTCCACCGACACGCAACAGGCGCTGCGGGGGCGACCCAGGCTGGCGTCGTGCGGGGCCCAGAGCTTGGGGCAGGGGCGCGGCCGCTTGGGCCGAACGCAAAGCGACGCGCTGCCCCGAGCCCCCGTTACAGGAGGGTCCTCCCGAGGCAAAGCCGCTCCGGAAGCGCAGGGGGCGGGGAAGCCCCGGGGCGTCTGTGCGCTCCCCTGCGGGGCCCGGGGGCGGGGGAAGAGAAAGCGAAAGCGGCGGGGCTGAGGGCCCCGGGGCGGGCCCGGCTCGTTCCCCGCCGTTGAAGGTGTAGGGGGAGAACCGGTGCTGCGCGGGGCCGCCGAGCTGCTGCCCCATCCCGGGCCGAGGCTCCGCGTAGCCGGCTGTGGACAACATCCTGGCGCGCGCGCTTGGGAGCCGGCGGGCGGCTGCTGTCTCACGGCAAAATGGCGGCGCCGGAACCGGAACTTCTCCCTTCGCCAGCAGCGTCCGCTCTAGCCTCACCTTGGCCCGATCTCGTCTGCCCCGCGCTCGGCTTGGCCCGGCGCCGGATGCGCCCCCCGCAGGCGGGAGGAGTGAACGTTTGTGTGGGAGTAAAAGCCAAGAGGAAGCAGGGGGTTTAGCAGGGAGCTGGAAGGGATCGTGCGACCAAGGCTTTCAAGACACTTACACGAAATCATGGCCAGTTGTCGGATTAGAGAAAGAAACAGCCACCCAAAGCAGCATCAACTGGATTAATTTACACTCCCGATGAAACCTGCATTTACATGATTTTTAAACTGAAAACAAAAGTAATCTGGAGTGTTGAGTTGCTACAGAAAGGCACTAGTCCTGGAAAACTGGTCAGCACATGCAGCAACTGGAGCCTGCTTGCAGTGCAGATCATTTTTAAAAGAAGCATAAAAGCAGAGGCCGCCATCCTGCAGGCTGCCTTGCTGGAGGGCTAGTGCGGAGCAGCGTGTGGCATCGAGGACAGAGTTTTATCATTTTCTCCTCCTTTAAAGCAGGTACAATAGCACGGAGGCTGCCTTTTGAACCGCCCAGAAACTAAATCTGCATAAGTCGAGATTGTGTGACTTCCCCTCATTACTTTGGCTCCCCTCTGTCCAGCTTTTCACTGGATCGTGGCTGCCCCAAGCAATCTGTAGGCTGGGTGCTCAGGACACACTGCTAGGCAGCTGTCCGGTTTCACAGGCTACAGATCATCCCGCATTGCCCCCTATTTTGTTCCTCAGAGGTGGCAACTCTGTCCAGGCCTGGCTCTCTAGGGCAGTGGAAGTTGGTGACGAAAAGCAGGCATGGGGTGGGGGCAGGGATTGCAATCGCTGCGGGCTGCGCTGCATCCCGGGGCTGTGGGAATCTGCAGCGGATGGTTTTCGCGTTGTTGTGTTTTATTTGTGGGCACTGGGTTCAATCTACAACCCCAGTGGCGCCCGCGCCCGTGACACACTGATCGGCGCTTTCCTTGGGCTTGGCTTCTCCGTCCCGCCCCACGCTTCTTGGCTTTGCCCTCACTCAAAATGGCCACTGCGGAAAAGGGAGAGCGGGAGTTCCTGGCGGAAGTGACGCGTTATGCGCGCGCCGGAGGAGGAGAGGCGGGCCTGCAGGTGGGGTCGCCGCCACCGCCGGGTCTGTGCGGCGCCTGGAGGGAACTGGAGCGGCAGGT